ACTACAGACTGACTTAAAGTATGTTGGTTTGAATACTCTAGAATACTTATACGTGAAGTATTCTGGTATGAATACTTCAGAAAATCTTTGTACGTGAGGTATGTAAGAGTATTCCACATGAATACTCCAGGTATACTTCAAGTGTTAGGGTACGTCTTGAATACTCTAGAACACCTAACGTATCACAGGAGTATGCATCCTTGAAAATCCTTGAATATTCGGCTTTTGGCACAGTGTTCTATACAATCATTTCTGATAAATTTTGTTGGAGTATTGGTTGCATGAGTACACACATTAGTACACATTTAATACAGTATGCAACATACATTGAAAAACTCATGAATAATTAATAAGGAAAACACAACAGAAATCACAACAGTGAAGAGTGTTGTAATATTTGATACAAAACTGTCTTGATTTGCATAAACTTCAAATCTAATTTTCTCAGCTAAATTCAATTTTATCTTTGAGTTTTTAGGTATATACACTGAACGCTTCACAAGTAATTTACAACATCTGCATGCATGTTGTGTGGGCTTTACAATCTCTCGCCTTCGGCTCAAGATTGTAAAATCCCATGCATCACCTAGCTGCTCATGTGTTGTAAATATTACATGCCACATTTCCCAGCTTATATTTCCTTAAACCAGTTGTAACCATTGAAATAAACTTGCTTTTAGAAAACATGTTTGAATTTTTAAATCACATTTATGATTAGCCATATAATTATGTACAAAAGACGTTTACAGTATAATTACATATTCTATGTGCACACATGATCATGAGAGGATTCTGATATGATCACAGACTAAATTTTTAACTGCCAGTAAACATACAGACATCTACACCAAAACACAAATATTCTACTCGCTTATGTGATATATCAGATATATATCACTCATATCACTCATCCAGAACCCAGTCAAAGAAAAATACACATGAGACTCAAGAATCTACAAATTAAATTATAGCAATAAAAATAGTTTCATGTGTAATTATCTTTGTCTGATTGGATCTTTGATTGGTTGTGTTTTAATAGATGAATAATGGTACTGATATTTTTTCTTTATTTTAATACTTACAAGTTTGGTTTTATTAAATTTGCATTATATTATGATAAAATATAAAAAATAAATTCTAGTTTTTACCTGCATTTGTTTCGTTGAGTTC